TTGATACAGGAGCCTGAGCCATAGAGACCCAGGAGTCCAGGAAACCAGGCTGAGTGTTACATCCGGTGGATCAGTGAAGCCTAAAGTTCAAAGTTCCTGGGATGTCATTGGAAGGGTTTTGGGCTTGACATTGGTGGGATTCATCCCATGTAGGAACTGAGCCTCCTTCTCCTCCCCCTTCCCCTCCAGCAAGGCAGGACTATTCTCTCCAGGCATTGGAAAAATGCTTGTATGTTTGTTCTTGCTATATCTTTGGAGATGACAAATATCTGATATGGTGGCATCTCTTCAAAATATTTTTCTTCAGTTTTTTTGTGGATCAATCTTCTATCCAGAGGTTGTTGTACAACAGTTCTGTCTGTAAATGGCTCTGGTGCACTTCTTATTGGTATTGCGTGCGTTTGGGATAAGAAGTCGACTACCGGAGAAAATGTCCGTGTGGAAGAGATCACAGATCCATCAGAGCATTGAGGTCACATTCTCCTTCTGCTTCTTTTCACGTCAATGGTGTGTGATGGAGCCTTCCTTCTTGTCAAAGAGAGCAGCAGCCTCCGCGTGTTTCCTGCCCCATCAGCTCTCCCAAAGACCAGGCACTCATTGCTGTTTCACATCCTGTTTCACCCTCAAATAACCTGACTAGAAGACTGAGTGTTGATGACAAAGCAAAATCATATCTTAAGGGCAGATGGTAGAATGAAGGCATGAAGCATTGCCTGCAAAGTGTAGAGACAGAGAGGGAGGTTTCAAAAGAAGAAATGAAAGCTGTTGACTTTTTATGGTGCATGCCAAGCGAATCTGTCCAGGATAGAGATGACGTTGGAGATGTTTGACAAAGAGCACAAGTTGTCATGTTATTACACAATCAACAGAAAGTCATTGAGTTCAAACTTTTTTTTTCTTTTTTAGGCAATTGGGGTTAAGTGACTTGCCCAGGGTCACACAGCTAGTAAGTGTCAAGTGTTTGGTCTGAGGCCAGATTTGAACTCAGGTCCTCCTGACTTCAGGGCCAGTGCTCTATCCACTGCACCACCTAGCTGCCCCCAAGTTGAAACTTTCAACAATTACTTGTTGAGTGTCTTGTATGCACAAGGCACTATGCAAGAAAAACCAAAAATGGGGACAGATGTCACTCTTAAGGAGCTTAAAGTCTAATAGGGTGGGTGGGTGGGGAATCACCCTGCATACAAATAAGGATGATGAAGAGCAAGATGAGATCATGGCAAAGGGGATATTCAGACAAAATGTCACATGTAAATTGGTGGAGAGAGAGAGCTCGCTTTCAACTTGGGACAATCAGGGGCAACTACATAGTGGTACTTCAGCTTGGCTTTGAAGAAAGGTTTTTTACAGTGTTGATGAAAAGGGAGTGCCTCTCAGGCCTGGAGGAGACAAAGGGATGAGAGTTTGGAATAAGATGGAGAACAGCTAGTGATTTTGTTTGTGAGACCTGACTCCTGGGAATTTGGAATGATTGAAGAGTAAGAGAAAGTAAGCCATGAGGAATTCTGTTCTTTGTTCCAAGACTCCTGGAGCCAGTGGGATATAGTGGAAAGGCCACAGGGGTTGGTACCAGAGGATCTGGGTTCAAATTCTTCTTCTGACACTGCCTATGTGAACTTGGGTAGATTATTTGGTTACTCTGAACCACAATTTCCTCATTTGCAAAAGAAAGGTCTTAGATTAGATGATCTCCAAGGTCACTTGTGGGCAGCTAGGTGGTACAATAGATAGAACACTGGGTCTGGAATCAGAAAAACTCACTATCCTGGCTTCAAATCTGGCCTCAGACACTTACTGGCTATGTGACCCTGAGCAAGTCACTTAACCTTGCTTGCCTTAGTTTCCTCATCTGTAAAATAAGGAAATGGCAAACCATTCCAGTATCTTTGACGAGAAAATACCAAATGGGGTCATGAAGTGTTGAACATGACTGAAATGACTCAACCACAACAACATCAAGGTCCCTTCCAGGGCTCCTTGACCCCTTTCTATCTCTCAAACTTCCTTGGACATTGCTCTTCTCTGTGTAGTCTAGCCATCTTAATCTACATGAAGGAAAAACAAGTGAGTCGGGACACCTCAACTACGTGATCCATTTGTTTTCTCTCTGTCTTGGCACTGTCTCCCATTCCTGGAATGCTATTCCTTGTCATCTCAGACTCCTGGGGTTCCCAGCTTTATTCCAGATTCAGTTCAAGCACCATCTTCTGTAGGAATCCTTTACTGATGCCCTCCATCACCAGTGCCTGCTCCTCCAAGGTTCCCTTGTGAATATGTATATATGTATTCACACACATATCTATGTATATATACATAAATATGTATGTGTGTGTGTGTGTGTATACACACATATGTATATGTGTTGTTTATGTTTCTATAGGTACATATTGTTTCCCCTATTGGAGTGAAAGTCTTTTCAGGGCAGAGACAATTTAATTTTGGTCTTTGTACCCCCAGTGACTATTACAAGCTTCATAATTGCTTGTTGAGTATTGATTGTAGTTATTGATCTATAACTACCTGAAATCTTCTGTTCATTCCATACTGATAGTTCCTTATCTATGAAGTGAATTAAACTACTTAAAATAAAAAAGATAAACATGAGTTTTTTTGTTTGTTTTGTTTGCTTGTTTTTAATTTGGGAATGTTTTAGGAGGGAGTGTTTACCAGGAAAAACACACTACTAAACTTTTGCCTCAGTTGTTAGTGTTAGGGGATAAGTAAGATATTTCCAAAGAACTTTTTTTAGTAAGAAAAGGGAATAAAAGTCAATCAATCAGTATTTATTGTGTTCCTCTTACATAACCTACAATGTGCAAATCCACAAATCCCATAGGAGAAAGTCTCTGCCTGTTCTCAGGGAGATTCTGATCTGTTGGGGAAAAAGAGAAATAGACACGAAATGGTACTACTCATGGCTATGCTGGCCTATTGGCTGTTCTACTCACATGACACTCCATCTCCCATTCTTGTGTGGTGGGAGATAATACTTTTAATCCCTACCTCACAGGGTAGTTGTAGTCAGAATCAAATGGAAAGCACTTTGAAAGGTGAGAAACTTTTGTTGTCAAAGATGTTCCCTCCATGATGGTGGTCATGAGTGGGGCTGGCATGATGGCATTATCACTATTCCAGTGTAACCCCTGTCCCAGAGTCCTTTGCTATAGTATGCTCTCCTTACTGGTGGAGATGAAGGCCCTGCCCTGAATGAAGAACTGAGTAGAGGTGGTCAGAGGTGACATAGCTCACATTTTCCCTAGTGACTCTTCAAACTTCAAGTTGTCCTTGAGCACTCCTGTCTTCCAGATTTAAGAGAGAAGATGGAAGAAGTCAACCCCACTTCAAGTTGCTGAAGGAAAAGACTCTGGAAAGATGTGAGAGGAACTGGCAGTCTCCATCATGTCCATACATCTATCATATTGCTACTCTGGAGACTTTGGGGAGTTTTCCCCTTGAGCGAGATCAAGGACTCTCTCTCATGGTTGAGCTGAGTTATCTTACTTCCAACAAGAGAACTTCTTCCCTTTATATTGTGCAGTAAATATTCTTCTATGCAGACCAATCATCATCTAGCTTGCTGGGCTCTCTGATCTCATGATCCTTGCCTTGTCTCTGAGCCCCTACATTGCATGAATGGAACTGTGTTGTTTGTTCTTCTTTCTCGAAGAGGACCATGACAACAGGGAGATGATGACATAACTTGTAGCTGACTTTGATCTGAGTGAGGGAAGGCTGTTCCAGGTCTTTCTCCTCCAGGGCCATCTGGGTCAGGAATGAAGGAGATGGCCCAGGATGCAGTGGGAGACCTTGACCCTTTTAAACTAAGGTCTTTTCAGGTTTTCAATTTGAGTGAGGCAATGCCCATTCAATGAATAGACCTCTTTAATAAATGAGTTAAGGGATGGCCTCTTTAATTAAATGAGTAAGTAAGTAAGTAAGTAAGTAAATAAATAAATAAATAAATAAAATGAAAATCAAACTGGGAGGGGAAGATCCTCAGAGTTGCTGACCAAAAGAGAAACAGTTACTATTTACATTCACTCTGAGCCTGGAGGGCCCAAAAAAATAACCATTACATAATGCTTGGGCAGGGACCTATTGTCCAAACCATAAGATCAAGAGTGAATTGGATTTAAGGCTTGGTGTTTGAAAACACCAAGTTAACCATGTAGCTTTTAGCCATCAAAATTTACCTTCCTTTGGTAGAACACCCTCAGGTAAGGGGAGAGGAGAGGAGAGGATAAGACAGGATGGGACAGGATGAGCTGAGTTGCCCAACTGGAACTGGCCATCTGGGTCCCCATTCAAGCAGCTTGGACTTCTCACAGGTTGTGGTTTGTCCCTCTCCTAGAGGACCATAATGTTGGGGAGATGATGACATGGCTTTCAACTGACTTTGATTTGAATGGATCTAGATCCTGCCCCAAAGATTATTCTGCTTTGTCATTAAAGTCTTAGCTGAGGTAACTAGCTGAAGGGCATGGGTGGGTTGGGCTTACAGAGATAATCATTTTTCTTCTCTCTCTACACCTTCTGAAATCTCTGCATTGCTCTAGAGTCTAACGTTCTTTTCCTGAATTCTGCTCCCAAACTTAGCCACAAGCCAGGCAAATAAAGTTGACAACATCCCATCAGGGCCACTGTCATTGGGAGGGGTATTCCATTGCATTGAAAAAATCTTTCTCCTTCACTCTCCCTCATTTGCTTAGGTTTCTTAATGCTAGAAGTTTGAGTTTCTACTTACAACAGGAAAATTTATCAAGAGAAAAAGAATCATCAGCTGAAACTTCTCAGGACAGCTTTTTAAAAGGATGTTGTGACCATCCAGGTCTTCACTCCCCCTCCCCCCGCCCAGAGTCCTCTGCCTTCTATAAGGACACATACAGTCATTCATAGTGAAATGCTTAATGTGAATTACAGCCACCATCATCCTTAAAAGATTATTAATGATCTTTTGTTTTTATATAACATTGCTTTTCAAATATATCTCTTCTATCCAGAAAATCATCCCTTGTAATAAAGATTAAAAAAGAAAGAAAAAAAGTTCACCCAAACTCACCTACCCTTCAACTAAGTGACAGTATACACAATGTCCTTCCACCTCTTCAAAGACCAGAGAAAGGTACATTTTCTCATCTCTTCCTTACAGTCAATTTTGGTCATTCTAATTACAGAAGGTTAAGTTCACATGGGCTTAAGGTTGACGGAATAGAACCCGTGAGAATAGGGTTGCTTTAAAGTTGATTAAGTTAAAAAAATAATTGAAGAGACAAAATACTAGCTTTAAAGGCCAAAAACAAAACAAAACAAAAAAAAAAAAAAACAAAAAAACAACCAACCAAACAAAAACAACTTAATTCAGTCAACTTGATCATCTGTGTGGGGCACATGTAGGTGAGAAATTAAGGATGGTATGACGGCTGTGAACCTGAATGACTGAGAGGATGTTAGCACTCTTGGCAGTAATAGGAAAATTGGGAAGAGGGGAGGTCTTAGGAGGGAAGAAGGGAATGGGTTCAGTTCTGTTTGGCTTCAGTTGAGTTTGAGAGGCCTTTGGGATATACAGTTTGAGGGATGCATGATGTATTCATCTAGAAATCCTCAGTATAGAGATGTTGAGGGAATGCATAGGAGGTGATAAGATCACCAAGTAAGACAGTATAGAGAAAGAAGAGAAGAGCATCCAAGAGGGGGCCCCCAGTTAGTTGGCATGATCTGGATGAGGATCCAGCAATGAAGACTGAGAAAGAAGTGTTCAGAGAGATAGGAGGAGAACTTGAGAAAGCAGAGTCACAATAACCTGGAGAGGATGGAATATTGAGAGCAAAGGATGATCAATAGTATTGAAAGGCCCAGAGAGGTTGAAGGAGAAGGATTTTCAAAGACCATGATGATCTCTGCTGTCCTTTTCCATTCTTAACTTAGGTTCCCTTGATCTTGGTGAAATGGGAGAGTTCATATTATGTAGAAGACTATAGATTTTGAAGTGGAAGGGCCCTCAGAGGTCATCTACTCCAACCTCCTATATAACAGATGAAAAAATAAAGACCAAAGGAGTTTCAGTGACTTCTTCAAAGTCACACAGCCAGTAATTGTCAGAGGGAGGGTTTGAGTTCATGAGAGGCAACATTTTACAAAGATTCCATCTGCAAAGACAACTTTGTCCTTTTATCTTGTTACCACCAGAAAGCAGAGGCTTAGAGACTGAGCCACAATTTTTTGCACAGTGAAAAGAATACTGGATTTGGAGTCTTAGAATGTGTAATCAAATTCTAACTTCACTATTTGCTCCTTGTGTGGCCTTGGAGAAGCTTTTGGCCTTCTCTGTGACTCAGATTCCTCACTCTACAGTGAGGGAGTTGAACCCCCCAATTCCCTTCCACCTCTAGATTTAGGATGAGAATAGTAGCAGAGGTCAGGAAGGTGGTCCTGTCTTTGTGGGTGGAGCCCTGAAGACAGCTAGGAGGGAAACAAGAGGCCCTCAAGAATCTAAGGATATTGCCACAAAAATGTAGGGAGTCACCTAAGACCAGTTTTATCTACATTCAGGGCCAAACTAGGAAAAATTGTCAAATATACATAAATGGGAATGGGGAGGGAGGAGGGTGGCAGAGCTGGGAGGAAAGATTATTTTTTTTAATCTTAAGATCTTTTCTTAATCCCTAAATACTGAGATGGGTTTAATTATCATATCTATGCTAATGACTCCCAAATCTATATCTCCAGCCTTAGCATTTCTCCTGAGCTCTAGTCTCATATCCCCATCAATAACTGGACATTTCATATTGGATGTTCCCAAGACATCTCCAAGTCACCATGTCCCCAGCAGAACTCATTTTCTTTTCCCCAAACCCTCCACTCTACTGAATCTCCTTTTCTGTCAAGGGCACCACCATCCATCCTTCCAGACTCCCAGGTTTCTAACACTGGTGTTCTCTTTACTTCTTCACTTGCCCTACAGATCCAATCAGTTTCCAGATCTTGCCATTTCTACCTCTACAACATGACTTTGTCTGACACTCTGTCTCTGCTCATACATCTAGTACCTTAGTGCAGGCATTTTCACCTTTCAGCGGTCAGTTGTCTTGGTCTCTTAATTGGTATCCCTGTCTCAGTTTTCTCTTTCCTTTAGGCTATCCTCCACACAACTGTCTCAGTGATTTTCTTGAAGCAACCCTCTGAATATCTCACTCTCACGCTGAATCAGCTGCCTATTGGATCAATGATAAAATTTATACTCTTTTGTTTGGCTTTAAATTTCTTCACAGCTTAGCCCTCAACTCATCTGTGAGCCTCATTGCATATTTCTTCCCCATTCTATAATCTAGAGTCTCTGGCCTTCTCTGGCTTTCATGCATCACACTCCGTCTTTCAGTTCTGTGCTGGCTGCTCCAATTCCTTGAATACATCTTTTCCTCATCTCTATTTCACCACATCCCTCTCTTCCTTAAAGATACAGCTCAAGTACCATCTTCTAGAAGATGATTTTCCAATTGGCAGTGTACCCTAGGACAACTAGGAGGTACAGTGAATAGAGCACTGGGCCTGAATTCATGAAGACCTGAATTCAAATACAGCCTCAGATACTTAGTACCTGTGTGACTCTCAGCAAGTTTGCCTGTTTCCTCATCTGTAAAATGAGGTGGAGAAGAAAATGGCAAACCACTTCAGTATAGTTGCCAAGAAAGCCTCAAATGGGGTCACAAAGAGTCAGACGTGACTGAAACGACTGAATAATAAAAAGCGTACCCTTTCTCCCTGACCACCTCGTGTTTAAATACTTTTGATTTATTTATATGTATTTTCTTTACATGTATTCTGTATATACTTACATGTGAGATAAAGGTTATCTAGGATTGCAGTTTGGGGACTTAAATACAGGAGTGAGGAATCCCTTCCAAATTTAGTGATGCCATGGCCAAGATAACATAAGTGTGTGTCATTGCCAAATTTGTTGGAGGGCATGCTGGAGTTTTCTTTCCACCATCAGAGCCTTTGAGAATGTTGAGTCATTCCCCTGCCACCATGAATATGGGAACCTACCCCTGGAGTGACCAAATGAATCTTTTATTCATGACTAATGATCTTATGTAACCAAAACCCAAACCAAGCTCAAATTTACCTAAATAATATAAAGTCTACCACCTACAGTTATTTCCACCAAAGCCACCGGAGGTAGCAGGAAGGGAGTCCTGTTTCATGAGACCCCCCAAAAAACCACATAGAGAGCTTCATCTATGGGTTGGTTCCTATTTCTGGTCCTGACTCGTGAATGGGGTGGAGATAAATCACATTGAGGTGTCAAGGCAAATCAGACTGATGTGAGACAAAATAGGAATGGAAGTTCCACAAGAAAAATCCAAAGTTGGAAGGGGAAAATACCTTCAGTTAATGGTCAGCTTAATTTTTTATTGTTGTTGTTACATAATAGTTTGCAGCACATAGATTATTTCTTTCATCCCAAATTTGCCCACGCGCTAATTCGATTGCGCCTCTCTTCCTGGAAGGGTCCTTTGAAAATCTGAGATTTTCCATCGATGGTGTTCAAAAGCCAGAGAGTCCTCACTCCAATGAAATCTTTGTGGTCCAAATGTTCATCTATTTACTTCTTTCACCCCAGTTACCTTGTGGTTCACTGCCAGGTCTTTTTGACTGTCATACCCAGAGACTACTATGATTATCCCAGGGAATTTATCTTAGAACTACAAAAATCAATGCAGATGGGCAATGAATTGGGCCTTGAATGGAATAGCAGGAGAATCCCATGGAAATGATTAGAGCTGATTTTTAGCTCTCTCCTCCCCGTGAGATATGTGCATGGAGCCGACCGCATGCTGTCTCCTCCTGTACACTGTGAACTACTTGAGGGTTGGGACTGTTCTTGCCGTTCTTGGTATCAGCAGCACCTGGTACAGAATCAATGCTTGTCAGTGACTTGAAGGGACTGCACTCTGGCTGGCATTCCCTTTTCTCTCCCTCTTCTCACTTTCCTTCACCTTAAACTTTAGACTCTGCACCTTGGCTACCCAATTCCAATAGGGGCATTTTTGTCTTGTCTTACCTCAAAACAGGCCTCTGTGCCACTTCCTGGCCATCTTCTGGAGGTCAAGGAATATTTTGTTTGCATATGTTTGTATCCCCAGAGCTTAGCATGGTCACTGACACACAGAAAGTTCTTAATGAATTCTCTCTCTCTCTCTCTCTCTCTCTCTCTCTCTCTCTCTCTCTCTCTCTCTCTCCCCCCCTCCCTCCCTCCTTCCCCTCTGCCCCCCTCTCCAGCATATGTCTCTGTCTTTCTCTCTTCTTCCCAACCCCCACTGCCCCATATGGAGAAGCAGAGTAACATGGAGTCATTTTTTAGTATCCCAGTATCCCAAAGGCAGTGCTGCCCACTCTCCCCCTTCTCCTCAATTCTGGGCCCAGCCCCTTATCCTTTCATAGTGCCTTTCCAGGACAGATATTCTGGCAGATAAATCCAGGAGGCTTCACATCTGGCTGCATGGCATAATCTGGTCCACAGGAATCTTTCATTCACATATTTTTTTTTTCCACCACAGGGAAAAACTGAGGCCCAGAGTGGGGTTGGAGTAAACCAGAGCTGTCAAACACTCATCATGCTGCCACCAACACTCCTCAGTATAGAGAACCAGATTAAAGTGTAATTGGGAAATATTTGACAAAATAAATAAAATGCATTTGATCATAGCTAATGTCCATATGTGATTTTCTTAGTCAATGTGTGACCTGCAGGGATCCTTCTGTATAGTTTAGTGACCCCTGTTTCTATTTGACTTTGACACCAGTGGAGTAGTCCACCTTGAGGCCCTATCTTCTTCTAAATCTCTGATCTCCTGATGTTTCAGAAACCCCTAACATGAGGCTTTGAGGCCAAGAACCAGCCTGATGAGACCATCATAAGTTATATGGCCAAAATCTACAAAACTAAGAAGTACAAAATGAAATGCTTCATTCCTGTTCAGCCTCACAAAACAGAGAGCTAATCCCCACATGCCCCACTGTACCTCTTTTACGATGAATGAATTGGTCTCCTTGCTTCAGGCCTCTCCTCACTCCAGTGTGTCCTCCAGTCTGGTGCCAGTGGGATTTTGCTAAAGCTCACTTCTGACCACGCCACTCTCCTACTCAAGAAACTGCAGCAGTCTCCTTTTGTCTAGGACCAAACAGAACGCCCTTGTCTGGCCATGTATCTCTCCACAGCCTGATCCCATTATACCTTTCCAGCCTTCTTGCACTTTACTCCCGTCTGCATCCTCTATGGTCCAGTTAAAGCCGCCTTCTTAGTGTTCCTCACATACAACACTCCATCGTCCAGTCCGCTGCTGTGCATTTGCACTGTCTGTACGCCAGACTCAGAATTTGCCCTGTCTTCATCTCTACCTCTCAGAATTTCTGGTGTGCCGGAATTATCTCTGGACTGCACAACCTTGTAATATCTTTTCTCTCCCCTGCAATTCCCCTTGCATGTGTTTTACATATGGTGCATATTGCCCCCCACCCCCATTCTTTGTATTTGCCAAAGCTTCCACAGAGCCTGGCACAAATGCTCATTGGTTGCCTAATTAATTGAATGATGATATATACCTGAGACTCAGAGAGAGGAAAGGATTATAGTTACAGAACAACTAAATGTCAGGTGAAGGGTTCAGACCCAGGTCCTGCTACTCCAAGCTATAGCCTATAGGCTTTAAATGATATCACACAGACTTTCTAAGAAAAATATCATTATCTCACTTTCTCATATGTCTTGGCAGTTTCATAACATTTTCAAGTACGTTATTTGGGAAGTAGTATAGTCTCATGGAAAGTACATGGGTTGGAGAGTCCAAGGACACCTGGGTTTAATTCTTGCCTCTGATGTAACCTTAGGCAAGTCATTTGAACTCCCTGAGCCCCAATTTCCTCATCTACAAGGTGAGATTAAACCAGTTGGCCTCTGAGTTCCTTTTGAGCTCCAGTCTATGGCCCCGGGATCTGACTCCAAACAATTCTATGGGTAGAATAATAGATGTTAGGATAAAGTTTTGCAAATGAGGAGACTGAGTCTTGGGAAAATGAAGGCATTTGATTATGGTCATACTAACCCTTTTTGGGGAGAGGAGTAGAAGGGGTACACATCCATGATTGTGCTGATATGCCCAAACTCCTTATATGGAACCTTGTTCACCATAGCAACCTCAAGAAGTTATCTGTAGTGTGTGGAGTATGGAGCTCAAACTCTGGCTTGGGTTGAAATTCTGATTCTGGTTCTTGCTAGGCAAGATCTTTAACCTCTGTAAGCCTTAGTTTTCTCATTTGTAAAATCATGTCAACACAGTACATCACAGTGGAATGAAATAAGATAATATAAAAAGATGTGAAAAATCTCAAATGTAAGCATCAAATTCCATAAAAATGAAACTATTATGATTAATAGTAACCCTTTCCCCTGACCTGCGACTGAGTGGTGAAAAGAAGTGCACATGGGAACACTCCTGGTCATGTTCCTCACTATAGCATGTTAGGGAGATTCACGGACTTTCCTGGACTCATATAACAATATAATTCACAGTTGGAACTTGTTACAAAGTCTTCCTAATTCTCAGCCTGGTGCTACAGCCCTTGCTCCAGGTTGCTTATTTTTCTTATTGGCTCAGTGAGATGGCCGTAGAGGAAGAGCTTGTGGTCGGAGACATAGGGAACTTCCAGTATGAGTGGAAACACTCTTTGCCAATAGGTTGAGGATATAGTAATTAGGTCCTAGGGAGTTACCAAAGCCGAATGGAGATTAAATGAGTGGCCCTGGGCATACCCTAAAGAGGGGTGAAGAAAGATGCAAAGATTGAATTGCAGGTCTTCCTGTTGCCAATCCCAGCACTCCAGCCACTATTTCATACTGCCTCTCAAGTCAGATAGTAGCCTAGCAAGAATGATATTTAAGTGGGAAGGAAAGTCCACTCCTGCTCAGGGGCATCGTTCCTACCCTCTGTGATTTCTGAGCTGCCACTACAATTGAACAGAAGTGGAGCATGTCCAAGCCTGTGGTACCTGACAATAATCATGCTCAGGAAATCCTGGCCTGACACATTCCCCTTTCAGCCTGTCACACTCATCAGCACTTTGCCGACCTTTTACTTTCTTTTAGGTTTTTTATATTATAAAGTTTTAGGCACTTTAATTGATTATTTTTGCTAAATATTTTTTATGATGTAACCAATAACAAGGAGGCATCCTTTTGAAGCTAGACCCAAAGTTGGCCTTGAAGAATCCTTTTGGCCTTTGTCTTCTCTTAAAATCTAGCCTTGGGTGTGAAGTTCTCATAAATTACAGTCTGGGCTAATTAGATTGTTCTTATCAAATAATTTCTTAGTCCTAGGCCTGAAACTGGGGGAATTTTCTCTCTAATTCCCATCTCAGTCTCAATACTGCATTTTTGAAAATACACAAGAACTATATTGTGTGATGAAGCTCATCCCCACCCCCTAGGGGGAAAAAAAGAAAAGAAAAGAAAAGAGTCAAGGGGAAAAGCCCTGGCCCATTCTATTCCCTCCATGTTCTTTAGCATCTCAAGTCAATGGCCATAGTCATGGTACTAGGAAGTGTCTGAGCAGGGATTGGAATCCAGAACCTTGTTACTCTGAATGCCAACACTCTTTCCTCAAGAGTCATTCTGGCTCTGAAAACATGAGACAGTATCTGTAGGATAATAATGGCATCATTATTGTGGCTATTAAACCTTTGCTACATGAATAAAGAGACTCCAAAAACTCTCATTGGTTTCAGAAGCACCGTAGTAATTGTGTAGAAGGAGGGGTGGCAAGGTTTCAGGCAGAAAGTACGAACAACGGCTGTGCTCGGGAAATCCTGCCCCCTAGTCCATTTCTCTTTTCAGGTAGCTACTCCCACTCTCACCCTCCCCTGAGTCTCTCTTCCTTCTTAGTTTTTTGTTAATTTTTTTTTTCTATCATATCATAAAGTCACAGAATTGGAGACCTGGGAAGGAGTCCTGTAGTGATGGAGCCCAGACCATGTTCAAGTAAGAGCAATCCCTCTCAAGTTCTTGATAAGTTCTCACCAATTGAAGGCCTCCAAGGAAGTCAGCCCACTGCACTAGAGGTAGCCCACTCCTCCTTGGGACGATTCTCCTTGCAGAACGTTTTTCCTGATATCCAGCCCCAATTTGCCTTTTTTTGCAATTTGGATCCACTGCTACCAGTTCTGCCCTTTGGGGTCTACTAGAAAAATAGAAAGATTATTTATTACCTCTGAAGTCATAGGGTCTTCGTTCAGATCCCTCCTCTGAAATTGATAGCCTGAGTAACCTTGGGCCAGTCACTTTCCTTCTCTGGCCTCAGTTTCCCCACCCATAAAATGAAGGTATTGGGCTAGATGGCTTCTAAGGACCTTTCCAACCCCAGAGCTAGGATCCCAAGTCTATCTCCCTTGCAAATGAAGGTCTTTCAAACGTTTGAACACAGCATCATGCCTTACCTTCTGCCCAACCTGACGCTTCTCTTCTCCAGGATAAAAACCCCCATGTCTTTCCACAGATCCTAAGATTTAAGCATATTTGTGTTGTGGGGTGGGGGAGAGGAAAGCTGAGTCTAAGAAATGATTATCTCTGGGTATCGGGCCTTTGGCCTCAGGACTTATTCTGCTATAAAGATGGCATGGTGCCAGTCTTGTGAGAGGATTCAGAGTTAGGTTTGGCCTTGAAAATCCTTGGGACCTTTCCCTTCCTTTGAGATGAATCATGGGACACAATATCCTGGTAAATTCCAACATGGTATAATGAGATTCTCTTATCAAATTGGTTCTTGATCCAAGGCCTGGTTCTGAGAGAAATTTTCTCTTTGATACTCATCTCAGTCTCAACATTTCTGTTTCAAAAACACATAGGGAAAAAACATAGATATTAAATGAACCCCATGTCCATAACAGGAAGAAAGGGAGAAGGAAGGAAGAAAAAAAAGGAAGGAAGGAAAGAAGGAAGGAAAGAAGAAAGAAAGGAAGAAAAAAGGAAGGAAGGAAACTAGAAAGGAAGGAGGGAAGGAAGAGAAGGTGAGGGAAAAAAGGGAAGGAGGGAAGGAAGAGAGGGAGGGAAAGAAGAGGGAGAAAGGAAGGAAGACAGGGAGGAAAGAAAGAAGGCAGAGAAGAAGGAAGGAGAAACATAAATTCTAGTTCCTTTACACTCTTTAGCACCTTCATTCGGTGTCTGTTGTCCAAATTTAGCAGCTACGTGGTGCCATAGTGCACATAGCACTAGGCCTAGAATGAAGAAGACTCATCTTCCTGAGTTCAAACCCAACCTCAGACACTTAGTAGCTGTGTGACCCCGAGCAAATCACTTTACCTATCTGTGCCTCAGTTCCCTTATCTATAAAAGGAGAGGTTTGACTCAAATCTCTACAAGGTTCTGTTCAGCTCTAAATCTACATCCTATGATCTTTAATGCATTTTGCATATATCTATCTCTTGTTTTCATCCATATTCTCTTGTTCACAATATCTCATTTTTCCTTTTAATTTCTACCAGCCACAGGCAAAACTATATGATGGGTGGAGGGAAGAGAAGGGAGTCAGCTTTTATGTAGCACCTACTATGTGCCAGGCACTGTGCTAGGTGCTTTACAATTATTATCTCATTT